CAACCTCCCTTCCTCAACAAGAACTTTAAGATGATATTGTTTTTTTTCCCTGTTTTTATCATGGATTATTGCTGTAATATGATAATCAACAAAACAGTTTGAGATTTGTATACACACCCTTGAATTTCTCAAATTTGTACATGTGTATGTTTGAATAGTTTTTCTTTATGCAGTAAAATACAATAGAATTTCTTTTGACATTTACTTGAAAGGTCCAAAGATGAAGAAATAGAACTTGTTCCTGTCGAGAAATTCTACAGTGATGCTCCAGAGTCAGTCTCCAATCCTGTAAGTGTTTCCACAGACTATGTTATTAAAAAATTCATGTGTGGGTACGTGAGGAAATGGTCTGGAAGTAGCAGAAATTATGGACAACTTACACTGTCATTATAATATAGGAAAAATGCAAGAGGAGAAATGTTTATTTGTACAGGTGATTATCATTGTCTTGGGCAGGATGCCATTAGAGCAGGCTCAACTGTATTGTCTAGAACCTGCTGTTAGGGTGATTCCTGAGAGGAAAAAAGTTTTTCTCTTCTGCAACGAAGGCACACATGTGTTTCAATTTCTGTTGGTTTTTTTTTTACCTTTCATGCTTCTTCTTGCTCTCAGTGCATGTGAACTTTTTTTTTTTTTTTACAGAACTCTGTTTTCATCCTGAAGTTTTGATCCTGCCAAAATGAGTTTAGAGTTCTCAGTTATGCATGTAAACGCCATTCTGTGATTTAAACTAATGACTTTACTTTGTTGTTTATTTTTCTTTTTTTAGAGATTCGGATGACCTGTTGAAATAATAAGACTTTATCCATACCCCAAACCGCAAAGTGTTGTGTTGCTGAAACTCTCTATGTACGAGTAGATTTTGACTCTTCCATATATATTTGCTATTGGTATATACAAATATCAAGTGAAGTGTCCTTCTCCCTCCGAGACCTACGTTGACATCACACTCTATGGAACATTACAGCAACTGCAGCAAACCTGCACTTACCACTACATGGCATTGGACAGAAGAGCGAGAGCCCAGCTGTTGCTGGATTGATAATAACAACAACAACAATATCAACTGAAGAGTTTTATCGTTCTTTTAAAAAAAAATTATATTAGCAATGTGATCCAGAAGTTGCTGAATAACAATGTGTTGTTATTGTTTCGTTCCTTCAGACAGTGACAAAGAGTGACGTACATCGACAGATGTTGGCTCGTCTAGAATGGGAACTGGAGCAACGGAAGCAGTAAGTCAGTCTACTGTCTAGAGACACACAGAGATTTGTGTAAGATTGTTTAAGGGATTTTTTTTTTCCTTTTGAATCTGTTAATTTAAAACATTGGGATTCATGAAAATAAAGTTGCAATTTATTTTTTGAGAGCATTTTTTATTGGAAAATTTGAATGGTTATGAGGATTTTTTTTTTCTTTTGGGGGGGAGTGACTTTTGCCCCTACAATAAACATACTTTAATGAGTACATGTCTTTTGCAGGCTTGCTTCTAAACTGACAGAGACAAAATCCAGTAAGGAGAAAATTTCAGAAGAAATTCAGTCGAAACAGGACTATTTGGATACTCTTCAGCCCAAGTTGTCTGCCATTTTACAGGTAGGGTGGAAAATGTTATTGAGTATTTTTTAAAATGGTTTTACAGGTAAATTTCATCTACAAGTGATATAGAAAGGTTTTGAAGATTCAGGTTTGGCCTCTTTTCTCTGACTGTAAGCATTGATGTAGCCCATGATTTTACAGATATTATACTGTTATTTAATTGTTCTAAAAAGTGAAAAGCGGAAAGGTGGTGGTAGGTGTGTTTGTTTTTGTTTTTTTATTAATTTAAAAAAACATTTTTTTGTAATTTTTTTTTTTTTAGAGGGGGGTTCTTTGCTTGTTTCTTGTAAATTGTGGATCTAAGTTTACACCTACCCTTTTTCCATATGAACGCTGAAAGATGAAAGATGTCGGGGTTTGCATTATTTTTAATCAGACTAATCAGTTTGATAGTAGATATACTTTTGTTTACTTTCTTAGCAGAAGAAGTAGAAAGGCTTTTTATTTGTCTGATTTTGCAGATACACTTCTATGTAGTTAAGTTTTTAACAATAGAGAACAGAAAGGTTTCTTTTTAGTAATGTGGTTTTTACACATGTAACCTGTTTAGCTCAATATCTAAAATACAAAAGGTCTAGATTTTGTTGTATATTAACTGGTAAATGCAATTCTTAACACAAGAAAAGCAGAAAATCATCTTTGTTTTTTTTTTTCCTTTTATGTGTTTTCCTACAGGCTACACGTCCTGTTCAGGACTACTTGGATATGCCTTATGACGATATCAGGGAGGAGCACCAGGTGGCTCAGCACCTGCCCATGCCACTCTACATACTCTACATGCAGACCTCTGCCTACAAGGAGGCTTGTGGTGGGTTAAGATTTAAAACGAGGCCAATCCTATTTACAGTACTGCCGTAAGCTGACAAAACATCTTTTTTTCATTTTGAGCGCCAAATTTTTGTATTTCCTCAAATGAAAAGCCTGACCAGTTGCCTTATTTGCATGAAAAAAAAAATCAAAGTGGAACTGAGACTATTTTTTAAAATAAATTAGAATTTGTGAAGCAGCGCGGTGAAATCAGACTCTCGTCAAAATAAACAAAGTGAAGAAACTTGCTTTTTTCCACAGGTTTGTGAATTTTTATCAGATTTTTGTTTTTGGGGTCATCACCTTTCATGCCCATTAAAGAACTCATTTCTATGTGGATTTTTCTGAAAAACGTCAATTTAAGGCCCAAAATATGTAAATGTTCAGTTACCACGGACTCTTAAGCTAAGGAAATAACTAATCTTTGGCTGTTTTTCTCACTAATTTTACCTCTGAAAACAGGTGACCCCCACCTCCTTCGTTCTCAAATGTCTCGACTTGTATTTAAGATAAACGGATATTTTTTTTCATCCAAATAAAGACAAGTGAACAAGTTTTAATATGATACCAAGAACTCTATTTGTCCAAAAATTGACGAGAGCCTGATTCCACCACGCTACCTCACATTTAGATTTCGGAAGAACGCTTTTTTAAAAAATGGTTACGCTGACAAAAAAAAAGCCTCTTTATCCCGAACATGGTGTGAATTTTAAAAAGGCGTTTTGTCAGCTTCCGACAGACTTCAGGAGAAGCATTACAGGCTAACTGAGGAACTGAGCAGGATTGCCCAGTATATGATACGCACCGCACTCTAAGTGTGATGTGAGCGGTAAAAAGAAGTTACAAGGTTGCCGGGTGCTTTCGTGTGGTTTGCATCTTCTTTCCAATCAAACACTTGCTGTCCTTATCTCCCCTTCTTCTTTTTTATGTTTGTTACTCTCTTACTCTCTTGTAACACCTCTAATCTTCTGGCGCTCATATGACCTTATGCAGTTGCGAGCGCCGTAAAACCTCTTCTAAAACAAAAAGAAGAAGTTAACAATTAAATGTAAGTGTTTTTACCCCCCCCTTCCCCGACACAATTTCGATCATCTAGGAGGCAAATTTTGATCCTGCCGGTCAGGGCTAACTTAGGCTGAGGGGGATAGTATATCCAAGAAGAAAGGCAGAGATACTTCATTAAAATTCTCCCCACTTGGGAATCGAACTCGAGTCTCCTGTAGGCACAGCAAAGTGCATAACCGATGCACCACAGATTCCAGTTTGTGGTCGGTTGTTGCGGAGATAAAACATGACAAGGTGTTTCTCGAAGATATAAATCTCTACAAGATGATATACTCTTCAGAAAAAAAAGCTCTTGAAGATAATGCACTTTAAGATGGTTTATTCTCTGAACAAAATGCCCTTGAAAATTCACACTCAATTTTGTATATATGTTGCCTTTCTCGGCACTGGTAAAAATATTGTGTTTCTGTTCTCGAATAGTTATTCTTTTCTCTTTTTCTTTGTATAAAAGTTTTTCTTTTTTTTTACTTTCTTTTCTTTTTTGTTGTTGCTCTTCTTGTCTTTTCTTTTCTTTTAGTGTATCGTTTTAATAGACAATACTATTTTCTAAGTATGACAAGTTTTGCATGTTTATGTTCTGTTTTAGACAAGTGCCTGAAAGTGTCAATCCAAGGTGATATGGACGCGGCCAAGACCGTCAAGTCGATGTCCTCTATCCACTTGGATCTAGGTGAGAAATTTACTAGCACCTCTTGCCATTGTAATTTGACCTTTGATTTGTTTTACATAGATGGTTGGCTGATGCCACTGGTAGGTTCTTCACCTTGACTCTCCCACGTTGTTTCTGTGTATCAGTTTTGATTTTGACTGAAAACTAAAGACAATTTTAATGTCAGTGTGTTCCCATTTATTCAAACAAACAAAAGAATTAATCTTTCCAGAATTCTATTCAGCATTGTTTCCTTTAGTTTGTTAAAAACACATCAGACAGGCTTCTTGTGAGTTTAAAAATTCTCTCACCTGTTGAACCCATAGCACTGCAGGACAGCATTGTTATTTTGTTACTGTGGCTAATTGTCTTTATTTCTTGTCTCTTTTTGTTCTTCTTTCACTGTATCTTTTTTCTCTTTCTCTGCCCCTCTCTTAATCTTTACATTCTTAACCACTTCTCCTCTTTCTTGTGCTGTTTTCTTCTGAGGAAAAAATGCTTTTGGTTGTTTTTTAAAATACATTTTGAGAACTTCACTTTTACTTTTTTTAGTAGAAAGTGTGGTTTTTGCTTTTTGTAGTTTGTACTAGCTGCTCAAATAAAACAATATCTTTGTGTCCATTTCATGTTTAGACGAGGAATCTGACAGTGATACCGAGGAGCAAGAAAAGAGGGATTCGGTATGTTTCTGTATAGTGTTTTACTGCTTTGATTGTCAGAGTGTGAAATAATCAGTTTCTTACCACAATCTGTATAAATATTGTGAATGCAGTATGAAGAAATGCATTGAACGCAGTCTGAATAAATGTATTCAGTGCAGTCTGAATCTCTTCAAAAAGTTCTTTGAGGTGTGTGAGAAATAATGTATTCAGGGACAGTTTATTTCGTCCCCTCAGATGAACTCTCATGTAAACTCTTTACCAGGTTATGTTCTCGTCATCATTTTTTTCTCCTAAAGCTGTTCAAATCCATGTTTCTTGAAGGTTAGAGATGGGGAGTTTTGTTAAATTGATTTTCTTCCTTGTGTCTTTTTTTTTGCCAGCTCAAACCTATTTAAAAAAAAAAAATCATAATTCAACGCTCTTGTCTTTTTTTAATCAGAAACGTAGAAGAAAGACAGTGGAAGCGAGACAGGTGGAGAAAAAGAATCGAGTCCTCCGCAAGCACCCTCTCAATGTTGTCCTAGACATCAGTGACCAGGGTATGAAAGAGAGATCTGGATAAGTTGTCATTATTATGTCTGTTCGTGTCTTAATATTGTTAGTGTTGAGTTTAGATCCATTGTTGTTTTGACCGTGTGGTTGGTCGGAGGGCAGTATTGCTAGGTCTGATTCTTTCTGCTCTAACGCTCAATCAAAACTACTGGTATGTGATATTTAACATATGTAATGATACTGTTTGGTCACTTCCCAGGGAACGAATCCTTCTTTGCATAAGGAATTTTAACTCAAAACAGTTTCAATATGTTTTTGGCTCATGCTGAAATCTCATGGACCAAACCTCAACATGTTAATTTATAGCTAGTTCTCATAAATGGTTGGCTATTTGTTTTGAGTCCCAATTTGTTAATCGAAAGCTACATGCTTCCTTCTCGTATGACAGCTGATTATTGCTGTAATTTTATATCTCCTTTCTGTTTCTGTCTGTGGACTATATGACTAATGTTATTTTCTGGGTGTGCTTCTCTTTACTCCAAAAAACTAAAATGATGTTCCTTTGTTTTACATATATGTCATTTTGGTTTGTTTTTTTTGGTTTATTTCTTTTTGGGATTCAGATGGCGCCGACCTTCAGCTGACCTTCAACTACTTCCTTGCCCTGAATATTGTGACAGTTAATGTCAAGGTCACACCAGGTCCAAAGGTCACTTCAACCTCTGTGTCTGGCAGGTAGGGTTAATTTTTGTCTCCTCTTTGTTGAAAAGTTACAATTTTATTTTCTGTATAAAACTGAACTACTTTGGCATATGAAACGCCTTGATTTACTTGAGAAACAATATGCAAAGGAAGGGGAAGACCTAACAATAGAAGGGAACTTGATGTAGAAACCTGATCTTGAACCAAAACAACCCAGGCAGGCAGAATGGCAAAAGTCAAGAGAGTTTTATTGCAGAAAGGTCAGAGAGGCACTGCCCAACAACTGGAAACGCTAAGAAGAAGAAGGTGATGTGCTTTTGCCAGAGGAGGTTTTGGACAAATACAGACTGATATCTGATGCTGCCAGAGTGCTCATTGAAAGCAAAAATGCAGTGCATCATTAAATTCAGGACAAGAGAGGGGACCACACTGCTATCTTTTGCCACAAGACAAGCCAGAACCCAATTAGCCTCATCCTGGTCCACATTATGCTGCTACACTCCACTTCTTGCCTGCAGTGCAATTTCCCACCATGAAACAGTACATACTTTTCTTCTCTTTGAAAAAAAAAAATTCTAGACTTTTGAGGGTGCTCTCTTCTGTCTCCACCAGTCATCTTTTTAAATCTTTCATATTATGGAGAAATGTCACTACTTAAGCTGACATTTACATTCTTCATCTGGTGTCTTGGAACAATATTCAGTTGAGATTGTTCAAGACAGTCACCCACTGTAGAGGAGAAAAGTGGTTGTCTTAGACAGGTGGACGTCTTAGACGGTGTCAGTATCAAATAATAAAAATCCTCTTACTGTGTCCAGCACGCTCATATGACCTTATGCAGTTGTGAGCGCTGTATAACACTGACCAAAACAAATCCAAAAAATCTCTGTCTTTCTCACATTTTTTACAGCGAACTGTTGTCCAGTGATTTCATCTTGGACGAGTTGTACCCAGGTGACCATGGCAACGACTCCCCCAATGTAGCAAACCATTATGAGCTGAAAAAACATGGGTGAGTCACTTAATTATGTCAGAAGTAGAATTTTGTTATAAATTTGAATGTAAAGTGATAGTGTTGAAGTAACATTTGCGGGGCATCAGAACCCTGTGCCATGGAGTGGTGTGGCTGGAATCATCAGATGACTACCGACTTCTGTGGAGATTGTAGTATTGTGATATTTGTTGATGACATCTGACTTTGACCAAAACTGTGGGTCCTCCATAAAAATGGCATACCCTGTAAATGGTATAAAGGTACTGTGGGTCAACTTTGGTGGGTTTTTAACATTATTCTTGTCTGTTGAATCTTCAAGAAACTGGTCACATGGGTAAACCATAACATTTGCTCTCCAGTCTTCAAGAATTTTCTTCTTACCTGAGCCAAGTCGGACGACCATACCTGTGGTGTCAATGGATGGGAGGACTACAGTTCCTGGAACCTGAGGTGGACGGTCAGGACAGTAAGAACACTGAGGATTCCACAGCGTCACATGACGCGGCCGGCATGTCAAGGGTGGTGGCCGCTCGGGCCAAACATGGCGTGAGTGCTACACACATGCAGCGCACCATCACACTCTTGAGGGAACGGATGAAGGCGAGGATAGCTCTGCTCCATCAGTTGGCATCTCTAGGTACGTTTGAGGGTCAGCTTGTCTCTCATGTAGACGTAATTTGACAAATGATTCAGAGACAAAAATTAGTGGTGCACTTATACACTTCGCTGGTGTGTGCAGGAGCCCTAAGTTCAATTCTTGAGTGGAGAGATAATTTTTATTGATTATCTCGATCTTCTAGAACATTGTTTCCCTGTTAGCCTGGGTTTACCCTGACAGGCATGGTCGGAAACTCGCTTCCTAAATGATCTAAATTGTATCAATGTGTTGTTAAATGCGTGCATTATGAAAAAAAACCAAACCTTTGGTTAATAATTTGGAGCACAGGTTTTCAGAGGATTGTTCATGCTGTCTGTGCAAAAGGTCCTGAATTTGACACCAGCTGTAATTACAATATTGGTAATTTTTTCTGACCTGTTTTGATCAAAATGTTTTCACAGTATTAACCCTTCTTAGCACCGTAAATAGGTCAGCAGGTCAGCACAGCAGAACCAAAATGGCAGCCTGTTGATGGTTTCCCAGAACTGAATTATTTCAGTGTTTTTCAGAGGTTCAGGGGGTGTAGAAATTGCTTATGCTTTTGATCTAAGCCGTGTATTTCAATGAAATTTCACATACCTATACTGGGGAAGCTTGCATCTAAATTTAGAGTGGAATATTTTTATTTCTAAGCCTGCACTACAGGCAAATGTGTCAGGCCGCTAAAAGCCGGTATGGCTCCACAGTGGGAAAGGCAGTAAAAGCTGATATGGTAACTTGAAGGAAAGGCCGGTTTAGGCCAGTATGACTAAAAAAGGGTTAAACTACATTGTGACTTCAGATAGACTTCGCTGAGTGGGAGAGATTGAGTGACAGAAACAAAACATTGACTCCCAATTTTATGAGTTTGTCAGTATAATATCTTTGAATCCTCATTCAGAGTTTTTCGCGTTATGTTGTTTTAGCGTCTTTTTAAAAAAAAATAGTTTTGTAACAAAAAAATAGTGTTCAATTATTTGCATTTGCAAGTTAATATTGCTGTTTTATGATCATTGTGTACAAATTGTCTGTGTTTTGTGTGGTGGTAGTTGCAGGGTGTCACTGTTTGTTCCCACAATTTTTTCTTTCTTTTTGCTGTGTCTGTTTGTCTGTTGTTCCTGTGGTTGTGATTCTCTTCACTCAAACTCAATTGTTTTTGCGTTTGTCCAGAGAGAGGAATCATCCCTGTGCCCGCTGAGGTGACCAGACTCTTTCCGGCCAAAGTCAACTCTCTGTTGTCGTCCTGGAAACGTTCGACATTTGAAGACCTGCAGTTACTCCCTCACGCTCAACGTTTCATTAAGGCGGGCGTGGTCAAGCCTATGGACATGGTGTTTGTAGCTGTGGTGGACAGAGCCTCAGGTACAGACTACAGACTGGATGTCTGTGTTGGTAGAGGGTGTAGGGGGCCTTGCCTCAGCGGTGGAGGATGATTGGATGTTTTTTGTGGACAGAGCCACAGAGACTATGTCTGTGGAGATGGTGTGGGGTGTGGGGGGGGCCTGGTTTCAACGGTGCAGGATGCTTGGTTTTAGTAGTGCAGGGTAACTAGTTTCAGTGGTGTATAGTGATTGGATCGGGTGTTTTTGGTGAACAGAGCATCAGGTACAGACTACAGGCCTTGTGTCTGCTGTGGTGTAGGGTGCTTTGTCTCGGCAGTGTAGTGTGATTAATGTAGGATGTTTGTAGTTGTAATGGACAGAGCCTCAGGTACAGGCTGCAGAGTTAATTTCTGTGGCGATGTAGGGTGTAAGGTGCCTGGTGTCAGTTGTGAAGAATGGATAGAGCTTCAGGTACTGACAACAGACTTGGTGCTGTAGCGTGTTTGTGGTTGTGATACAACCCACATATATATACTGTTGAAGTGAAGTATAACACACACACACATTCTATATTTGGAAGTGCTTGACCTTGTGTGCAACATCGGGAGTCACAGTGGGGTTGGAGCCTGAGCTGTCTTATGAGAACCAGAAATAGCAAACTGATTCATAAATATATGGGGGGGCTATACTCTCCTTTACTCTTACTTGTTAGAAAGGGAAATGGAAATGTCGTCTGACACACTATTTGTTCCCCACCCAAGATGACAGCCCTTGTTTTATATTATAAAAGGATGTAGAAATGAAATGTGTGTGTGTGTGCAACTTGTTGTCAAGTTGATAAGTTTCTCTGACAAACAGTATTTTTGCCCCCAAGAGCTTTTTTTGCAAACGGCACTAATTTCCCTTGAGGAAAAATGAAATGTTTAACTCGTCAAATTCCTTTATCAAATTATATTTGCCCCTCCGAAAATGTAGAAATGAAGAATGTGTGTGCACAACTGAAACATGCATATATATAACTTGTCAAGTTTATTTGAAACATATTGTATGCCTTCGCCTCTCTTCCTCCCCAAGATAGCAGAACTGAACTTTGTGTATGACTTTTCAAATTTCTTTGACAAATCATGTTTGTTCCTCTAAGGATGTAGAAATTAAAAATGAAAAAAATATGTGTGTACCTGCAATGTGTCTAAATAACTTGTCAAGTTTATCTGAAACATTCTGTGTTCCTTCCCTGTTTCCCTCAGCCAAGATGACAGCCCATGTGGTGCTGACTGCCGACTGCCCAGAGGTGGCGCCGGTGTTTATCGTGGAGATCATGTGGCAGTCTCAGCGCACGGCCCTCAACGACGTGCACATCATTGTAAGTTCTTTCATGTGGAGTGCTCTCTTGTGTATTTGTACTTCTCTTCATGATATTTGCATATATATCAGTCGACTGCACTTGGGTTCTGGCTTGAGCTGATCTTCAGTTAAGTTTATCTTTTTCTTGTGTCTCAGCACCTCTTCTTCTTAACAGGTCCCAATGGTGAAGTTGAACTTCGGAGCAGGTCCCAACGGTTAAGTTGAACTTCGGATGAGTTGATTTTTTTTTCTCTCCCCGGACGACATCAACTCATCCATAGTCGATTGTATTTAAATTTATTTGGAGATCACATGGCAGTCTGAGCGCATAGCTCTCTAGGATGTATGCAGTACCGTATGGTAGTTTTTTCATGTCAAAGGTCACAAAAGATCTTTCATAGGTTTTAAAAATAATTTCTTGTTTGACGTCCCTCGGCAACATGCATATTCATAATCGGGGTTTTTTTCGTGAGAAGCTCTTTTGTATTTTTGTTTGGGGGGTTCATGTGTATTTGCATAAATTTAATATTATTTGCATTGTCATAAGTAAGGGAAAAGTAAGACAGACAAAAACAACAGAAAAAAACAAAGTAGGGGTGGTTGAAGGGGCCACTGGTAGGTCTAATTCACTTATTTCTTCCCCTCGATTATGTCTGTTTCTTGTTCTTTCTCCTGACACAAAATCCAGTTATTTCTTATTCCTTTATCTCAGGAGCTGGAGGAAGAGGTGAACCTCCACTTTGGAGAACTCGTGCCGGGCAAGTGCCGAGACCACCTTCTGAGCAGCCAGTTACAGCGTCTGCTGATGTGTCTGGACGTGTACCTTGAGACAGACACACCCGCCTCCTCCACCGTGCCCATAGAGATTCCCAAGGAGAAGATGATGCCTCGAACTTCCAGGTGGGTGACTAGCTCATTCAAGTTGTGGGGAAAAGGAGATATCCTCTGTTTTTTAACAGTAGATGTAAACCAGCAGTTGACTCCCTGAAATCAAGCAGGAGAATACAAAGAAGGACAGTAGTTGTAGAAGGCAAGAAAGAAAGAGGGAGACCCAACAGATATAGGGTACAGAATGTAGAAACTTGGTTTAGAATCAAAACTACACAGGCAGGCAGAATGGCATGGGACTGCTTGTTTTATTGCAGAAAAGTCCGAGAAGCAACATCCAACTCCTGGAAAAGTTAAGAAGAAGAAGAGGTTGTGAAGAAGAAAAATCTTTTGGGGTTAAGCACATTTTTTTTTCTTTGAGAAACAAACCTAAGCAAAAAAGATGATGCTTCAGACACTGAGGTGTGTAACTGTCTCTTTAAAGTTGGGGGAGGGGGGAGGGGAAGAGGGAGTCTTTTTTAAAAGTTATTACAGGAAAAACAATTGTTTTGTTAGAAAAACAAAGGTCAAGATGACAATAAAGGTGAAAAAACGCAATACTTTTTTTGAGTAGGCCTTCTGTTGTTGGAACATGATAGAAACATTCAATTTTTTAACTCATGAAATGGAACGTCTCAGCATTTCATTGTGAAGTTCGCTCTGTTCTGTAAAGGTATTGAGTCAGCTACTGATATGCTTTGCGTCACTTTAAAAATCAGGGGTAACTTTGCTTTGATTTTCTTTCAGGGGGCGAGCTCGGTCCAAACCGTACAAGTTTGTACCAGAGATGGGAATCTTCACTCACAGGAACTGACGTATGCCATCGCTGTTTTCATTGTCGGAGTCCTTGTTGCTGTGTGTGTATGTGGAAGAAGGAAAGCCTTGCTCGTTGTTGATATGTATCTTTGTACATGTGTTCAGTAAAAATGGGCGTTGTATTTTGAATGATGAATTAAAATGTTTCATTGCACTTTCTGAGTTTGTGCTGTTTCTGGTACATTTTTGTGTTGTTTTTTGAGGGGGGGGGGGGGGGGGGGGGGGGTCCTTTTTTCCCTTAAATAATTTAAGTAACATTTTTAATGGGGGTGGGGCAGGGAGGAAAGAGGAAAGAGTCTTTTTTTTTCTCCTCCTGTAAGAACAGGAAGAAGGGTATGTTGTATAACTGAGTGGGTCTACATTGTCCTGAGCTTTCTGTCATAATTAGATTCCTTATCTAATGCTGGACATTTGAAAATACAGTATAACACGTATAGCTCGAATTTGTCAGGGCTGGCCTCAGAAGTTTGAGGGATATCTTACAAAGATAAAAAAGAAGAAGAAAATGGGACCGCAGGCCAGTTTGGCGGATGGGTGATTTCTTTGGTGTTCGAGTGTTCGACCTATTGGTGTTAAACTGTATATACAGTTCATCTAACTGTATGATCCCAGAGAACTGAGGACAATAAACTACTATATGAATGTAGTAGCTGGTCATTGTCGGGGATATCGATCAGTAGTTTGTAACCTGGGTTTGATTGATCCCTAGGAGTCTGATGAAGCGATCTCAGGGGTTCGATGGAGGCATGTATGCGCTGTGTGTGTATAGCCGTTCTTTTCACTCTTCTCAAAGGGTTTGGTGAATGTTTTTGTATAGTGGAGTCCACTTATAACGAGTCCTGAAACAACGAGGAGTCTATTATAAAGACACTATTCTAAAACCCTGTTTTTTTATCTTTGTAAATAAAATACTGCTATAGCGCAGTCAGACAAACACACGAGTCGGTTATAGCAGAATATTGCTGCTGCTGTGCACAGCGCATAGGCCAATTATACATAAATGTAAAACCTCGCAAGTTGAGAAATTTTTTGGTGAACTAGCGAAACAAAGAATGGGAGAGCCCACGTATGTCAATAATGAAGACCGGAGCGAATGAGTGGGGAGGATGTGGCATGCGCAGACAAGCAGAACGCATCATGTGATAGGCCAGCCTAGTCTAGATTATCTAGGCCTACCATGCCTCTCACTTCTCCGATGCGGGGCTGGAGAGGTCAACGTGATGTGATGGATGAAGTGAATGTGTCGCGTGCGCAAGCAGACAGAACGCACCATGATAGGGTGTGGTGAGGAGGAAGACTACACAGCAGGTGAGTTAGCCTAGAGCCCTTTCTTTCTGATCGCTAACACCGAGCTGTCAACATCGCTAGCTCTAGAGAAAGAAACCTGATTCTGTTTTTGAACAAGTATGACCTTGAGGTCATGTTGAAACAAAATCATGATCTGGGGAGAAAACAAAAATTAAATTAAAAACTCCAAACTCATAGATTAGGCCTACTTTATTATTTCCCTTGAATTTATTACAGGATCCCTTACTTATAACGAGAATCGTGCTATAACAATCATTTGGCACCAGTCCCCTCCCTCTCGTTATAACAGGATTCCACTGATGAAATTTTCTTGGTTCAGTGCCAAAGATTATGTGGTACAAGAGAATAACGACATACATGTACATACAAAGAAAAGAAGGAGGAGAGATATGGAAGATAGATGTTTGAAAAGAAAGAGGAAGAAAACCACATTAGATCACCCGCCAACCACTCACTCACTGGACAAGCTCAGAAAAAAAAAACGTGGGTATTCTTGGCAAGAACTGGAGTCCTAGTGAGGGCGAGAAAGCTAACCTTCAAAGGCAATTGACAGAGAAAGAAGACATTACCTGAGCTACATGACAGCATGAACGTGTTACATCTGTCCCCTCGGTTTTATGCACCCCGAATAATTCAGCAAAATTTTATCATTTTTTGGGGGCATAAATTCGTATTATATTCCTTTATCTTTTTTTGTTAAAAATTAACAGAATCGCATAATTTCACATTTTTGGGCTCAGTTTGCATAATTTCAGGAATTTTTTTACAGTTACATTGTACATAGTGTACCCATTGGACTGGCCCTATCTGTTCTCATTTAGACACCATACTTGACTCACACTACAAGAATATCACAGACACTCTTTCATTGGCAATGATTATGAATCATGTTTGCAGGTACAATGTACAAAGACCTCGCTGCACTTTTGTTAAAGGAATATTAGAATCCCCACGACCGGACATAAACTGTTTAATCATGTATGTAGGAACGTGACATCACATCTTAGGCGGACAAACAGTGCCGAAAGAGATTTCTGTACATTGACACATGCATCAAAACTTACACTTACATATGTCATTATTATATTATTTTTAGTTAGAGAAAAGGTAGGCTACTTCCAAAACAACCACATTCCGTGGATAAAAACATAATTTATATTGGGTTTGATTTGGTTCGACATTGATAACTCGTCCATCTTTCTGTTGCAAAACTGAGAAGATGAGGAGCTGGGATACATGATATAAGTTGAAAGTTGTGATGCAGTACCGGCACTTTCTTTTAAGTCCGGAACTATTGTCCAGCGTGCCCCGGCAAAGAAAAAGCGTTGATTTATGAAAACTGACAACCTTTATTATAGGGTGACCTTATTTAGGCCACATATGGCCTAAATAAGCTAAACCCCCCTCCCTTACCTTATTTAGGCCTCACCTGTGGCCTAAATAAGCTAAACCCCCCTCCCTTACCTTATTTAGGCCACACCTGTGGCCTAAATAAGCTAAACCCCCCTCCCTTACCTTATTTAGGCCACACCTTTATACAAAGTCACAGAAATATTCCTTTTGTGCTTATTGAGGTGCAGTGCAGGGTGATTTTACCTGCAAGGATAATTGGACAAAATGGGCAACATCTTTATTGCTAATGGTCATATTTAGACAAATCCTATATCATTGTCTTTTTTTTTCTTAACTGCTCATGGTTATTAAAGAGTAAGCCAACTAGGCAGTAATTTCGGATTCCTAATACTAATATTATGGGCATTCTTAAAATTTTAAAACTTGTTTTTACCGCTTTTCTCAACGTAAAACGGATTCCGTAAAAAAACAAAACAACAATGACCTTATCTTTCTTTTTCAAAGTATTGTGCATACATATGTGTGAAACTATATATTCTATGCTTTCATGTACATGAAAAAAGCTAATAAAGGCAAGCAAAATGTTCTTCAGATACATAAATCTAGTAGTAGGCCCACTGGAATCTTTTTATAAACCGGGAAAGATGACCAGAAAATAACAAAATTATTTTATGATCTTCACTTGCACTTGCAATTTTTGGGACAAATTATAGTCTACCTCATTGTCTTTTTTTCCCCGCAATTTTCTTCACTATTCATGACAACTGGCATGTATTGTTTTCAGTTATTATTTAAAAAGTGGATAGGCGGACTACGGGGTCTATCTAGCCAAAATGATAGGTGGACCCCGGGGTCTACCTAACAAAATGCTAGGTTTTAGGATGTGAACCCCGGAGTCAGCGTAGTGAAATAAGTAGTAGATCTAGGTTTAACTAAGGATCGGTGGACCCTGGGGTCAACATAGTGAAATAAGTAGATCTCAGTTTATTTTATAGTAGGACTGGCGGAGCCCGTGGTCAACGTAGCGAAATTATAAGTAGATATAGGTTTAATTAAGGATTGGTGGACCACGGGGTCAACGTAGTGAAATCAGTAGATCTAGGTTTAATTAAGGATTGGTGGACCCTGGGGTCAATGTAGTGAAATAAGTACATGTAGATCTAGGTTTAATTTTAAGGATTGGTGGACCCTGGAGTCAACGTATTGAAATAAGTAGGTTTAAGGTGGACCCCAGGGTCTACCTAACGAAATACTAGTTAGGTTTTTAGAATAGGAGGAACCTGCGGTCACCGTAGTAAAATAAGTAGGTTTAATCAAGGTGTCCCGGGGGTCCACCAATCCTTAATTAAACCTTCTTATTCCTCTACGGCTATGGTGACTTCGGGGTCCACCAATCCTTTTAAAATTAACCTTACTTATTTCACTACGCTGACCCCGGGGCCCACCAATCTTTAAAGAAACCTACTTGTTTCACTACGGTGACCCCGGGGTCCACCTGTCCTAAAACCTAGTATTTCGCTAGGTAGACCCCGGGGTCCACATTAAACCTGCTTATTTATCACTACGTTGACCCCGGGGTCCACCAATCCTTACTTAAACCAAACCTTATTTCACTATGGTGACTCCGGGGTTCACATCCTAAAACCTAGTATTTCGCTCTGCAGACCCCAGAGTCCACCTATCCTCTACAGGACTAAACTATTATCAATTTGCAATTTTCATTGATTAGCAATATTTTTTTTAAAATATTGAATCAGAGACTCGCTGTCTAAAAAGTCCACTGATAATGCTATTCTTTTCAAAGAAAATGGCACAATTTGATTTTATGACATGTTGAAAAAGAGTTTTAAAAATATCCCGAAAACAACATAAAATGATTATATAGATCTCTCTCTCTCTCTCTCTCTATATATATATATATATATGTGTGTGTGTGTGCTTGTGTGTGTGTATTTTATTATGTATACTAAAAGACTGAGCAGAGGCTTACAATGTAAATTCTTGCTCTACAAGTAGAGAAAATATTAAGTTTGCGCAAAACAGATTTTAGAAAAAAAAGTTGGATCTAATTATTCTAATACAAGTAAAAGTGATTGTTATGCTGAGATTTGTTATTATTGACTCTGGAAATACAGTTACTTGCTGAATCTAAAAGTAACTAGAACTGTGCAATTCGTTTTATTTCAATTCCAAAGCCCAAAGGCATAGCAATAATAAGTTAGATCTAGATCTAGCAGTTGTAGGCTCTCTGGCTGCTTCTAGCATAGGCCTGCTACTACTGATTCTAGACAGGGAATCTAGATCTTGCTATCGCCTGCACTATTAAAGTCAAATATATGGTAAAATAAAAACAAAACTGAATTTTTTTTCAGTCAGTACATCCCAATTGCCATAGCCGCATGTATTAATAGTTGAATAATGCGATACCGCAGCAACACGTTATCACAGTGTGCAGGGGAGAGCGAGGTGCCCGGTCAATTCGGTGGTTCGGCTTTTGTAGATCTATGCATTTTTTACGGAAAGCCCTATTACCTAACCCTCTTACTAGATCTATTAGTGTTGTGAAAACTTCAACCTCTACAGCTCAGGCGTCAAAAGATGCTGGAAAATAATAATACGTCCTGAAGTTTCATAATTTATTTTTATACAGAATAACACAGTACACAGCCAGTAGTTTTTATTTCATCGAGTTATAAAAATGGCCTTCGTATAAAAATTGCCTTGTTTTCAGAAGCAAATTTTAATAGTTCTAGTTCTACCGAATCGATTTTCACGCGAATTCAACCATTTTGATGATCTTTCTTTTCCTTTTAAAAAGATGTAGATCTAGGCCTGTCGGATGTGGCAGTGCGAATAACACTGAGTTGTTTAGATCTAGACCCATCAAAACACGAGGCTTCGTGGCCGATCACAAAAGTCTACAGGGCTTATCGAGGCCGATTCGCCCTGAGCACGTTCACTAAACTGCCTACTAGATAGAATCTACTACCAAATATTCTCTACACGATCTTTGCTACTACTACTACTAGGCCTACTAGTCTACATGTACTACTACGAGACAGTACGAGAGAGTGTCACTCAGGCAAAGATAGTGTAACTTTGACTCTAAGCATGGGCGAAGTCAAGTCGAGATTCGGAATTCGGCGAATTCGTGGGGTCTGAGTCGGAGATCGAACATTGGGCAGGAGGACGAGTCCGAACACGAATTCCCGAACTAGGGCAGCCAAGGGGAAAATAGATCACGAGGAGCGAAAACATATTTAATTTGTTAAAAACTGTGAATAATTTTACGCAAAACTGCACCCAAGAAACATTTTTGAACGCTCAAAAGTTAGATTTGAATGAATAAAAATGCATAAGTTTGAAAAGTATCATAAAACACGATGTCTTATTTCTATTTTCCCCTCGCTGTGTTCAGAAGGAAGCAGCGAGTTCGAATTGGACCGTCCCACGATTCCATCGACTCAATGAAAGTCACATGAGCTTTTAGAACGCGCTGATTCGCTAGCAGTTACAAATCCCTTCTGCTGGTGGTTATGCCCTAAGAGGCCAAGGTCAAATTTACGCACTACGGTGACGGACGAGCATTGCGTCTCTGATTGCACCAATCACAATTGCAAGCCATCTTCACGTCAAATTCAAATCCCGTGATTATCCCAGCCTCCTTCTTTCTTTGGCTTTCACTACGATCACACACATTTCACTACTTTTCTTCTCTTCATTGTACTATCTACATGTATTTTCTTACGACCTGTCTGGCACTTACATTTACATTGTCACATTTCTCGTCTCTTTTGCATTACTCCATGTTTGTTTTCAACCTTGTATGTTTCATCTTGTCATAATAAATGTTGATTATGATATAAATCTAGATCTAGATCTATTACTGTTATTTTTTATAGACTTCTGTCTTGCTGACTGTTGCTTTGATTTGCATGGTCTGACTTTAGAGTTCGAGACTGCGGGATTTTATGCTTTGATTTTTATTATGACCTGTTTGCATCCATTATCCTCGCACATGAATGCGGCTGTACTGTCAACGAGGGGCAAATAACTTTCAAAACAAACTGGTGCCCTCCCCTGATGTCAATGAAAACATCCTGTCTCAATCCCGACCTCTGTGACCTCTTCCCTGCTCCTTCCCCCTCCCCCCTCCCCGCCCCCTTTGTCTACACTGGTCCGTGGAGTCGGGATTCTCTACAGCGTGTTCGACTCGACGGATGTAGGGAGAACGACTTGACTTGACACGAATCCCACCGAATTGACCTTGCCTCTCCTCAAATTTGATTGGCTGCTATCTTGACCTGAATTCGAATTCGGAGTCGAAGTCGACGAATTCGCGCCCAAAAATGTTCGGAGTCGAAAGTTCGGAAGTTCTCGGAGTCGGCCCACCCTTATTTGACTCAGCCACGTAGTGTACACTCTTTTTATACCCCAAATTTAACCCGGAAGTCCATTCGGAGGATTTGACCTTTTCACTTGACCAAAGTGTGCCAAAATGGTAGCCTAGCTTTTGCCCCTCCATGAAGGAAAAATCTGGCCCTCATTCAAACCATTGGGATTGAGCAAAATTTTGCGTATTGTGCTTTGTTCTTTACAATATTCATTATGGTTATGATTTATAAGTTGTACACTGAGACAAAACCGTACTAAATGAGAAAGGTGCACCATTATGAAAGTGGAACGAACTCAGTTGCCTGAAAAGGGTAGTTTGAGCATGTGTGGCCTAAATAAGCTAAACCCCCCTCCCTTACCTTATTTAGGCCATATGTGGCCTAAATAAGCACTCCCTTTATTATATTATCATTAAAATCTTTATCTGCTCTTTTTTATTTTGGTAAGTGTTGTACGGCGTTCGCAACTGCATAGGGTCATAGGAGCGCGCGAGGCACATTTAGCAGTTTCAGTAGGGAGGAAATTTGAATTTTGCTCGGGTAGCGGCCGAAGCCTACTCTTATCGATTTTAGACCACCAAGGGATCTTTAACGTGCGCAACTTGCACAAGGGTGGGACCTCCGAGATTTTTCGCCTTTGTCCGAGAAAGCGAGGTGCAGATCTTTCCTACCAGAAGATCAGGGGTGTGGCTGAAGAAAGACAGCTGTCAGAAGGAGCCAAGGAACAGCAGTAGGAAGAGTCAGGCGCTCAGAGGAAGGGGTAAAGGAGGTGAGGGGGTGGAGGCAGAAAGTGGAGACGAAAGCAGACAATAGAATATTGCTAGAGAGCAGGAAAGAAGACAATTTTAGAGAAGAAATATTTTGGTCGCTACCCGGATTGGAACCCGTGACCTTTGAATGAGAGGCGAACACCTCAACTTCTAGGCCACGAGAGCCCACAAATCTACTCCAAAACCATGGACTACGCACAAAAACAACAAAGTGATTTATGAAACATGATCATTTCTGGTTTATTTCTTGTGAATTTTGTGGACTTTATTAGAATATGAATTTGAAAATGTACTTCATTAAGAGCTTTTGTAAAAATAGGAGCCAATTTTGGGAACGTTATAATTTATTTATTATGCAGTATTTCAATACAATTTTCCATTTATTTCTCAGCGGGTTTAAAAGCTCTTTCTTGTTTCCATTGGACAAAATAAAATGATGACAAAGTAACCGATTGCGTGTTTTGCGAATTTAATCCCCTGTTGAAATTAAATGAACACCGCTGAGATAACTCACGTGAAGTGTGAGTGGACTGGGGGGAGGGGGATTTACTTGACAGCCTGCACATAACCCCGCCGCCATCAGGGTCAGATTAAATTTTTTATTTAGATGCGGGGCACTGACGGCTTGTGAAATTGAAGCACCGTTTCCTAACGAGACATGATACAAATTATTATAAGGTCACGATAAAGAGGGACTAACTGAGAGAAGAGATTCTGAAGACAGAATTACACTTGCTGAGTAGAAAATCTTTGCGGATAGGCCTTTAAGATGGGGCTATCTTAAGCACTTAAGCATAAAGTAAGTACAATATGTACATGAACTGAAGACAAAACTTAGATTTTGACCCAGAACAAAAAAACCCCCAAAAAAACAAAAACGTGTACTTCTCTGAAGTGAGGGAAAGAGGAGGACTTTGGTCCCCCCCCCCCCCCCCCCCCCTCAAGATTCGCGCAATAGTATCTGCACAAAACCAAATTATAATGAGTCTGAGTGAGTTGTTTTATTTTACTTTTTTTTTTTTTTTTAGCCCCTAGACACCTCTACAGAGATGGGCAATTGTTTGCATAGCGAATTAATTATTAGGCCTACATGTATAAAGAGGCCGAGAGAGTAGAACTGAGATTACGTGAAGTGTGAAGCGAGTCTTTTTTCCCCCCCGCCTATACACATGAGAGATAGCTATAGTATCTACATTACAAAACCAAACTACACGTACATGGGTTGACCGAGTGAGGGTCATTTTTTTAAAACCCCTGTAGAAGCAGATCTAGATTAGAATCTTCAGGGCGAGTTCGGCGGAGGTAGCGTGTCAGCATAACTGGCTAAGTGGGTTGACTGGGTGAGATAGTTTAAAAAAACAACAACCCCTAGATACATTTAGAGAAGGTAGCGCCTAGCTTGTGACAGCATAACACAATTATTTCAAGGCTTCGTGAGATGACTGGATGAGAGCCAGTTTTTTTTAAAGATAAAAATCTTGACCAATACATCATATTATTATGTTGATTTGAAATCTGCTTCTTTAGCGGGGCCCAAAACTTTTATGTCACCACGTACTTATAGATTACTTAGAATGTAGTTGAATCAATATTCGCGCAAAGGCGCAAAGATTGCAGATCTAGTTTTGAATAAAATCATAACATTTGAAAACCACAAAGAGTACACTAGGCCCTACGAAAAGTAAAATATCCATCAGAATAGCAAAGTTCCTATAATGCATATTAGATCTACCTATTCATTTATGAAGTTAAGTAAGGATCTTTGGTGTATCATTATCATCCAGAATCTTTGGAAAAGCCAAAGTTAGACAATATCGATACCGAATTCTTTACCACTCTTCTGCGTTCAGTGTTCACCAAAATTGATGTTTTTTCACCTTTCGCCTTTCACCCTTTGGTCAACAACAAGATGGCGGCCTCCTGCTGGTAAGGGTCATATTTTTCGATGGCCTTCAGAGTTATGAAATTGAATTCGCGCTTATTTCTTTCAACGCAAGCATGTTGTGTTTTATGCCGCAGGAGCACCCGTCAGGACTCAAAGCTGTCGATCACAGGCAGCAGACACTTTGGATCCCTCCAGAGAATCAATGATTATGGTGTTGCTAACCCATCGACTGCCTGCGGGCCCTGCGTAACGACTGCTCTGACAAATCATCCAAGTGCTCGTCATCGTCACCGGAGTCAGACCAGTCAGGGTCTGTCATTATTATGCTTCTATCTGCCACAGGAAAGATTTCAGAGAAGGACATTTGCGAACGTCGGAACCAGAAAGTCCCCAACCCACTATTATGATGTGTTGGAGCTTAGTCCAAAAGCCACTCAGAATCAAATTAAGAGTGCTTATTACAAGAAGTCAAAACTCCACCATCCTGATGTATCTCAGCGTCCTGAGAGTCACAAGCTCTTCACTGAAATAAATGAAGCATATGAAGTTCTAGGAAACCTGAGAAAGAGACGCATGTACGACCAAGGAGTTTATAGTACCAGACAACATGGACAACAGTAAGTTTTAAATTCTTTTGAAAAAATCTAAATTTTATACAGTGGAACTCGGATTCAATGAGGTCGCCGGGCCTGACCTAAAATGTCGTTGAATCCGAGTGTTCGTTATAGCAAATATGAGCTTTTGTGTAGATAATTACAGGCACTGGGCAAGTAATGTATAAAGAGAAGTAACAAGTTGTGCCTGAAATTTCTGCATATTATGAGCTGTGCAAAAAAAGACCAATTCGTTCAAATTCACACCTGTGTCATCTCGATTGTTTGACAAAAAGTTGTATTGCTGTGTAGAGCCTAGCATCCGGCAACTTTTGATTCCATAGACCAACGCACAATTTATTACGTAGATCTACGTCAAGAGTAGCTTATCAAATCATTGTAATAACTGATCAGTTGGCGGGGGGAAAAAAGACTGTGACGTGTTTGTATCTTCGACATTCAACGCCCGGACCACTGGTGCCCCCCCCCCCCTGCCGACACACACCGTCACGTGTGCGCAGGCCGCCTATCCGACCCGACACACACCAGAGTGGACACGTGCGCCTGCCAACAGCTGCAACGCATGTGTTGGTATGAAAGTAGAAGGCCGCTGATCGGTCGCATCCAATCGGTTAAGTCAATAATGGTTCATGATGCAGGTGCAATGGATGGTTTCCGGGAAGAGATAGAGTTCGTTGTGAGAGAAAAATTAGCTAAGCCGCGTCTGCGGGAGATGTTCACCCTTGAAGCGACCTCGTTGAATCCGAGCTTGCTGATTTAAGTTCTTGTTGAATCCGGATTATTTTGATTAATTTTAAAGAAGGAAAAAAAATAGGGAATCCATCTCCTCCCGTTGAATCCGAGCTCGTTAAATCTGAGTTCCACTGTACCGAGTAACATGAGCCGTGAAACACGGCTTGCAATAATGAAAGAGTGAATCTGAAAAAAGCAGTGTAGTGAGAAAAATATAAAATCGCTAATTTGCTCTCATTTCTTTTGTAAATACGAAAACTATTGATCAGCCGAAATGCTCCCATTTCTGAATCGAAAAAAGTTTCGAAGGTTATAATGTTGTAATCATCACTAACAACCCTCAGGTACAGTAGTCTTCGCCTAAACGCACGCCACACGAAAGCACGCTCCGCTCAAACGCACGCTTTCGTCATGTGACAGGTTTTTTACTATATAATTTAGACGTACAAACGCACGGTTACTCCCTCTACACGCACGCTCCGATTTGCGAAACACGCCAACAAGTTAAGCTTGGCAACGGGAAATTTTCATGACCACCTGCACAGCCTGCATAAGACACGCCTAGAATTTACTAGAAAATCGGATATCTGGTGAGAGTGCCCCTCACGCCGCACAAAGAGGGTGATGGACAGCGTTTTCACACCCTACTTTCGACTGATGCATAGTTCTCGGTCTTGGGCTGGTCGGTTAAATGTTGGGGGGGGGGGCTGAAATGTTTTTTGATTGGTCACTGGAAATACGTATCTTTGAGAGAAGGTTTCTGACTGGTGTTTGAGTTTGAGTGACTGTGTGTAATGTTTAGTTAGATCTAGGCCTGATGCGCGACATGCGTAAATGCCGTAAAACACTAGACAGGCCTCTGTAGGATTAAAGATTAGCCAAGTAAGCCTAATAAGCTGCGCTCGAAGAACTTGTACGGACTTGTTCAATGAATCACAAGAGAAAATGTTTCTCGAGGATGATCCTGCATGAATTTACAGTCGGGGGTGGTCGCTTGGAAAGCCAAGTGGCTGGTCCGTCGTCTCTATGACTATCACCAACAGTTTCCTCTTAATCTATCTGTTCCCGACGTTTACAGGGCAAATTCATTACATTGAGTCCCCCTCAGCGCCTTTGTACTCTTAACCCCTGTCGGGGAATCCTACACAAAACGTCACATGTCGTCACATTATCTGCCAAAATAACCCCCTCCCTCCAAGGGAGGTCACTAGAGTAATAAGGAATTGATATGACTGCGTCCCTTCCTCCTCTTGCAAAGGTTCATGTAAACGCACGCTCCGTATAAACACACGCTAAGTAGCCCTCCCGAGCACCGTGCATTTAGGCGGAGACTACTGTAATGCAAATCATCAAGTCTTTACGCTTCATCAAGACAGCGAAACAAGAAAGACAAAGATGAGAAGACATATATTTATATTTGCCGGTTTTGTGGGCCAGAAAGGTGTACATTTGCTTTGTTCATCTGAGGGGGTCTTCTGGTCTAGGAGAGGTATGGTGCTCATCTCTCATTCAATAGGCCCTGGGTTCGAACACCGACAGCGGCGAAAAAATCATCTGCTTTCATTTAGATGTTCTCCCCCCACCCCATCCTCCACCCCATACTCTTGGCTTCCTGGCCTGGAGCAAGGACACTACTAACTAAGTAGGAAAAACGGTTATCAATAAAGATCAGAAATACTGCATGCTGAAAAACTAGTGGCCGACTGCTCATGAGATCTAGCGGAGAAGAAAAAGAAAAAGTCAGACACACCCTTACACCTTCTTTGATTCCAAACTTACTGACGGTGTCTCTCTTTTGGGGGTTGTCAAGAAAGTCAAGATCAGAAGGGAGGGAGTAGTACAAGTGGACAATATACTTCCTCTATGTTTACTGCCCAGGCAAAGCTGTATCATGCACACTACTTTAAGATTGTCTGTCAAGGCACAAAAGGCCATTATAATCACAACATCTGTTACAGTGGAATCCTGTTATAACGAGAGGGAGGGAACTGGAGAAAAATGTCCGTTATAGCAGGATTCTCGCTATAAAGGATCCAGTAACAAATTCAAGAAAAAACTGTAAAGTAGGCCTAATCTATGAGGCGATCTGAAAGAAACGTCTCTGGGCTAACTCACCTGCTGTTTTTTTCCCCACCCCACCACTCCCTGTGGTGCATTCCGTCAGCTTGCGTACGTCACACATTCGCTCCATCCATCACTTTGCTGTGACCTCTCCATACCGCATCGGAGAAGTGAGAGACATGGTAGGCCTTGATAATCTAAACTAGGCTTACGCTGGCCTGTCACGCGATGCGTTCTGCTTGTCTGCGCATGCCACACCCTCCCTACTCAGTCGCTCTGGCCTTCATTGTTGACACACGGGTGCTCTCCCATTCTTTGTTTTGCTAGATCACCAATTAGTTTCTCAACTGGCGAGGTTTTACATTATGTATAAATAATAGGCCCATGACCTCCGCACAGCAGCAGCAATATTCCGCTATAACCGACTCGCGTGTTTGTCTGATTGCGCTATAGCAGTATTTTATTTACAAAGGTAAAGGAGAGAAAACAACAGGGTTTTAGAATAGTGCCTTTATAACAGACTTCTCGTTTTTTCCGGACTCGTTACAAGTGGACTCCACTGTATTATAAGCCAACACACTTCATGATATAGGCCCAGTGAAGCAAGGATAGGAAATGTAACATTCATGTCGTGCGACCTTTAGTTGGTTATAGCTTATTGCCTCTCTGTTAAGTTAGGTCACAAAGGTCCTACGCATGAACATGTGACTGCATTTCTCACTTTACTGAAAACATGACCAAACCAAAGAAAATTCGGTGGTCCTGCACTTTTCAGTTTTTAAAAATGGACTCTGTGTACTTCTTTTTCAAGTACCTTGTCTGAGACATGTTACTTTACTTTTACTTTTCCGATCCAGCGGTCATCTGGGTTCTAGCCCTTCGGCCTCTCGATATGGCAAAGAATTTTCTTGTTTTTACAGCTGTGTTTTGTCGCTGTATAAAGTTTTTCCGATATCCGGGGAGGCATGTAGGTAGGTGCGATGCAGGTCGCTAAGAAGTGCAGGGCAGGTAAAGAAAGAGATGGTGTGATACTGTTTCATCCTGGCAGTCACACAACGGCCAGTCAGTTCGGGGTATCATTGCAGATCCTATTTAGGTACGAATTCAGTGGGATGTGTTGTGTTCGCAGGCGAAAGATAGTGACTTGTTCTCTTCTACTGACGTAATTTAGTGCGTCTTTTGAGTTGGGAGTAGCAGTCATGTTGTGCAAATACAACTCTTCCAGTTTTGCCCAATGCCCATCCATTCATGATTCAGCCACTGTTCCCTGGTCTGAGGCTTGTGATCATATTCCTTTTTGCTTATCTGTCCCCATGGCTTTATGCGACCCTCATGTTTAACAAAATTTGATCATTTTTTGGGTAATTTCTAATTATTTTCCTTTATCATTCTTTGTTAAAATTAACAGAATCGTATAATTTCACATTTTTGGGCTGTTTGCATAATTTCAGATTTTTTGGGCATAAAATGATGGGGACAGGCTTGTATGACTTCTGCTCGAACATAAACAAAACAAACAACAAAGTCTATAGTCCTGGTTTTTATTTTCACTTAAAAAATTTACACTTCTTGTTTTCTTTTCCCTCAGACCCGGATCTCATACCAGTGAACAAGATTACACAAGAGAGTACCGTCAGAGATCACATTTCGACCGAGGAGAAAGACCACCGCCTCCGAGGGGCCACACACGTATCTACAACTTTGACGAGTTTTATCGCCAGCACTACAACGACATGCGGGAACGCAGAGGACGGGAGCACGCCGAGTTCGTCAAGCACAGAGAAATGATGGATGAGAGACTGAAAAGGAGGAGTACAGAAATGTCGGCATTTGTCTCCGTTCCCTTGTGGTTTACTATTCTGTTTCTCTTCATTCTGATGTTTGAGAACTATGACCGTGATATTTTGGTGGATCCAAAACAAAGAGAGACAAGACAGTATGATTCTTTAGGCAAAATACCACAGCCTAGAGATAGATAGTCTTTCGCTTAAATGTAGCAATACATATTTGTACATTTGAATGTACATATAATATACATAGTGTTTAGTTGTTGTGTACAGCAACATTTTATTTATTGAGCTGTGTTCTCAATATAATAGAATATTGGGGAATGTGAAATACATTTTAACAGATATTTTACTTGTCATGATTATCTTCATCATTCTCGCTCTATCAATATTATCTTCATCATTCTCGCTCTATGAAACTCTTGATAATGAAAGTGTGCGTGTGATTTCAAACTTAACACGTTGTAGAACACCAGATAAAAACCTGTTACCTTCAAGCGAGATCAGAGTCTTCAAGAATATGGCTTGTAAGGTGTTATTTCATGTAGGCTACATGGTAATTGTACCCTAGATGACTTCGCTCTGTCAATATTATCTTCATCATTCTCGCTCTATCAAACTCTTGATAATGAAAGTTTGCGTGTGATTTCAAACTTAACACGTTGTAGAACACCAGATAAAAACCTGTTACCTTCAAGCGAGATCAGAGTCTTCAAGTTCAAGAAATATGGCTTGTAAGGTGTTATTTCATGTACATTGTAATTTTACCCTAGATATGACTTGTGAATGTCTTCTTATTATTCAGGTCTATTTCCTTTCAGTTTTACTTTTCAAATTTTTGGGGGTTTCTTTGCGTTTTCAACACCTTGTGTTACAATAAGGGGACTTCCAAGACTTAATCTCTGTGGAAACCAATACGCTGCACAACTGATACTCACTGTATGCTTCAAGTTCCCAGGAAGTTGAGATTGTTTCAAATTGCTATCAGGTCTGCCGGTGTAATTGTATGGATTGTGAAGTGCGTAGAGACCTTGCTGTTGACGAGCAGAAATATGCGCTATACAAATGCTGTCTATAATTATTTTTATTATTATATTGATCACCGATTGCAATGCCGATTGGCTGATAGGAGATTGTCCAGTCCAAGGGAACCCCGTGTGCACTCCTGGGTGTTTTTACTTCTGTGTGGTCAAGCTGGTTTTGTCCTTTGTAGCCTTGTTATTATTCACCCAACATCACATGACCTACATGCCAGTGGGACAGCGGTTAGGGACACTCTGGGAAATATTTTTCTTGTGCGGGAATCGCACACGGGCACACGGAAGATGTGAGCTCCATTCCCTGTGTGGGGAGATTTTATTTCTAATATCTCCATAATAATAATATGTCTGCTAGGATGTTGCATCGCTCTCAGACTCTCAGCCCACATTGGCTCTGCCAGGCAAGGTGGAAGCAGAGAGCGTAGTAAATTATCTAAATTGTGTCGTTGGGGACTTAAGTTAAAACATCTACTATTATAAAATAGACCTTGGATGATATGTCATTGTCTCTCTCTGCAGAATGTGATTATGATTGACGGAGAAAATAAACTTGAACATCAGCCTTAAGATTTTGTATCAAATTCTTTTTTGAATTGTAAGTGCTTAAATCTGTCTCTGGTGTGACTTTTTACTGTTCTGATTAATAAAAAAAGAAAGACGATGGTGAAGATTTTGCTCCTGACTCTGAGCACATTTCCAGATAGTTGGCTTTCTGATCATACTGTGCCAACTGTCATGACTTGTGACTATTTTTAAGAGTGTTTATAGACCGATTTCCTTCCAGTTTTCTTAACAATTTCTACGGTTTCTGTTAAAAAATTGTGTTTTTCAAACAAATTATAGTCGGTCCTTTCAGCGATGGATGAAAAACTCAGAGGTCCTATCCGTACGCCCTGGGGTCATTTTGTACTCCCGGGGTTGTATTCTTCACATTTTAAAATACTTCTAGTGCGAAGATCTCTTTGAAACTTTCAGTATTTCTCAAAAAATCAATTTGACAGAATGCTATGCAAAGCGTACGGACCGGATTAACGAGTAAATTTCCTCTTTGGAAAGTAGTGGCACAGAGTTCCCCACGTTGTATGGATACGATAGTAAAACATGACGTATGGATAGGGTTAATTAACCTAATAGTGTTGATACGGGTGTTTAACCTATACTATTCCACCATTTTCACAAATTATAGTGAAATAGATGTCTTGAAATATGATATTAAGAAATGTTATATTTCATTATGATGTTCCTCTTTCTTGTATTACTCAATCACTAAAATAAATCATACTCTTGACTCTTGATTGAAAGAGCATGTGATTTCATACTTTACATTCTGTAGACGACAGAAGATAAGAGGTGTGTTACAAAAGAGTAACAAACACAAAAAAGAAGGAGGAGAGCTAAGGGCGATACATGTTTGATAGGATCAATAACAACAACGAGGAATAAACCACACCAGAGCATCTGTTAAGCATCCATTAACCCTTTTCAATTTCTGTCAGTGTAGGCCTACTTTGTTCACTTAAATAAAAAGTCATAAAGCGGAAACAACTACTCTCACTCACAAAAGAAATGCAAGGCTGAATCACTTGAAAAAGCTTGATAATTTCTTCATGTAATAGATAATAGAACATTTTGGATACACACACACCAACAACAAATTAACATTTTACTTCAGAGTGAAACATAATAATTATATATTATCAGTATGACCAGATCACACAAAGTCAACACTAGTAGCAAAAGTAATCAGGACCCTCCCAACACTGATGGAAACTTTTAACGGGCACCCAAACTTTTGTACACGTTTTTCACAAAGTGCAACTACTATTAAATCTTTTGCATTTAAGGTTTAGGTAAACATATTGAATGTTGTCTAAGGAATAAGCCAAGGTCAGACTCAAAGGGATGGGGTGTGTGTGTGTGTGTGTGTGTGTGTGTGGGG